ATCGTAGAAATTATCGTGATACATTTTTTAGTCCATATCGCCCATCCCTAAAGAATCAAATCTCTGATCAATTTATTTGGGATTAATTGTAATAGTGTATCTTTTCCTATGAGAAACTCGTCTTTCAGTGCATTTTTTTTGATCATTCTGTTTCATGTTTTCTTTAAAATTTCACCCAGTTCAGTGTTTAAATTCAAATTCAGATTTACTTTTGCCGAAGTGAGTACAGACGCACTTAACAAAAGCAGCGTCGCCACCTGCTGGATCGTTTTTCTAGGGAGAGTTTCCAAGCTCGGAGGACATGATGGTCGCAGAGCGAGCTCTCCGGGAGATGAGGGAGCTGATGCAGCAGATGCAGGAGGAGGGGTCGAAGGCTCGAGAGAAGAAGAAAAAGGAGCAGGAGCAGGCCGAGGAGCGCAGGAAGCAGAAGGAGCTGCAGGTGCAACAGGAAGTGCAGAGGAAGGCGGAGCAGGCGGCCAAGGAAAAAGCACAGAAAAAAGGTAAACAGGAAAAAAATTTAAAGGGGCTATATCATGTAAAATCAACTTTTTTGAGTTTTATATCCTGTTAAAATGTTATCCTGTCATCAAAAACACACACACAGCCTTACTTTGACTCATTCATACATGTTTGAGAAATCCTGTAGTTTTGTTCGGTTTGGTCTGTGATCTACGGTTATCACTCGTAACTTATATTACGATCTGTGTTCTTTAGTTGGCTTACAACCCATTTTAGTAATCAATAAATTTGCTTAATGTTGACGTGTGTGAGGATGACTGGGAGAGAACTTACCAGATGAAACATCGCCTCTCTCCTCACTCCGGTTCTTCAGAAAATGTATTTTCGCTCCGACAGCAAGTTTGGGTTGGTTGTATCCTGACTTTCTGTTTTCCAAAACCGATATTATATAATGTTGCTGATTTTTAAATTACTATTACAACAAAATCCAACAGACCGGTTGTACTGCATGAAGCTGTTGTGCAGAAATGGGCGTGCCAGAATCAGTAGGAGGTTCTTAAAAAGACAGGGGCCTGTTTGAAGGATTTTTGAAATGGCTGTGATGCAAAATCAAATTAATTTTTTATTTATACAAATAAACAGCATTTTCATAACAACTGAAGGTGACATAGTTACTTTATTTTTGTACAGAATTGAACTATATGCCTGAGAAACACATAATACTGGCTCTTTAAAGTCCTCACCGAGGCAGAACCTGATCCCCGAC